ATCAAAAAGTAGTATACAAATAATCTTTAGTACACATTCTTTAAAAAAAGCTATTAAAACAGATATAGAAAAAGAAGTAGTAACTGCGAGAGAGATATCAGAGGTTAAAAGAAGGGAATTACCAGTTATAGGTTGTACAAGGTAGGAAATATATTTAATAGATAAAATAGTTGAAGATAGAACACTTAGAAGTAGTTTAGTAGAGGTTTTAAATCAGAATCTAGCTTTAGATAGTTTGTTTTTTTATACAGATGGCTCACTCAGAACTGCAAAGGGTCTCACAAAAATGGAAATGGGTTGTAGAATAGTACAGATAACAAAAGAAGGCCAAATCTTATACCAATTAGCTTGTGGCACTAAAAAGTGGTTTTCATCAACAAGAGCAGAGTTGGTAGCAATCTTGGTAGCGATACTAGTAACACCTAACGAGAAAGAAGTGGAAATAAAAACTAATAGTAGTGCAGCCATTTTTGCAATTAAAAAAGGGCTAAAAGCAGACAAAGCAAGGCAATGGTTTAAGATTAAAAATAGTGGCCTAATTGCAACGATAGTTGAGGTAGTCAAAATGAAGCAATTAACTCTGCATCTCAAAAAAATTAAGGGTCATTTAGAAGATATCTTTAATGATTTGGCAGATCTAAAAGCCAAAGAAGGTGCAAGTTCCACAGAGTTGCTAACTTCTATAGCACTACACACGAAGGAATTCAAACTAAGATACAAATAGAAAAATAAAGTTATAGAAAAAATGATATGCTCTTTCATCAAAATATTTGAAAAAGTTATAAATAGGGTAGAATAGACATTTTTACACAATAGTCAGAATACCATATATCAAGAAAGAGAAACTCTACAGTATTGGCCAATTTTCTATAAAATCTTGAAGAGTGGAACTAAGTAGCGTGATCACACCTTCAGATCAAATACATTACAGCTCTTTGAATTAAAGTGTATAAACAATGCTCTGCTGGTTTTTGAAAAGCTCAATTGAAGAAAACCTGAAATATACAAAACTGATAGATGTGTTATATGCAAAAAGAAACTAGAAAGTATTGAACATTTAGTAAATTGTGAAGCATCGATAGAGCTAATTTGAGATTTTGAAGAGCAAGAAGTAGATATGACTCTTAAAGAAATAGAAGAAGTGCAAAACTTGGATGAAAAGAGAGAGGAGATTATGGTCATAATAGGAAAAGAAAGCCTTGCCGAAAAGTCACGAAGAAGAGAAAGATAGATAAGAGACCTTATTACAAAAGAGGACTTCAATGAAATACGGCCAATCTTCACATCCAATATACAAGCTAGAGACTTTATAGTAAGGCTTTGGAAGAGATAGATGAAAAGGATATATGAGGAGATTTGAGTCGAAAGATGCAAAGTAGTACAGACTTGGGAGAAGGTGAACGGTATAATGCGAAAAAAAAAACGAGGATATGGCACAGATACTATGAAAAAACAAAGAAAGAAGAAAAGAAAAAAAAGAGCAAATGAAAAGAAAGACCCAACAGATAAAACCCATAGAAGAAAAAGACAGACAAACGATACTGAAGCAAGATGAGAGTCAATATTAAATATAGCAAAAAATAAAGTTTTGAGGTGGATAAATAGTGGGCAAAGAGCAGATTGGAAGATAATAAATTAGTAGTCTTGACAGGCTGTAAGAACTATGCGATGAAGTATTGATGAACTCATTTGCAGGATAAATTAATACAGAGATAAACCTTACTATAGCAGGTCGCACATAGGTATTCGTAGAGAACAACCAGGTGAGCTAATACTTGTAATTTAGGTGTCAGGGAACTAGCCTTCTGAAAAATTTAATATTTCAAGGTATAATATTATTAAACCAAATAAAGTAAAGGCAAGACTGCCAAAATTGTAAAAAAAAAAAAAAATTCTTAATAAAATTTTAAATTTTTAATATAGTCTGGTGCAAAAAGATTTGTACACTAAATGTAATCCAATTTTTTACTATAATTAAAAATCAATAAATTATTAATAGTATATATGTAAATTTTTTTATATTTATTAGAATATATTTGAAATTAACTATTTATATTATTTTTATAATTATATTATAGAAATATTTTAATCATTAATATATAAAACTTTATTTTTAAAAAGAAATAAAAAATTTTTTTTTTGAAAAAATTATATATTAGCTATTTTTAGATTAAATATGCAGTGTAATAAGCTTGTATTACGCAAGTGTATTAGTGTAAATGTAGTAAATATACCATATAAATTTTATTAAATTTGAATTACAAATTATAGATAAATTAAGCTTCAAAGTCATTTAATTTAGCTTAAAAAAACATATAATTTACTTAAATTCTATATACTGAGTTAAGTTTTCAAAATTATGATTTAAAAACAAAATAATAAGTTCTTTTAAATTATATCTTTTAGATAAAAAAAAGTTTAAAAAATTCTATACAGTAGTTTTTAAGAAATTTAATTTTAAAAATTTAAAGTATTTTATACATTTTACTATATATAGTTTGAAAGGTTTTTTATTGTAGTGAAAATGTTTACTAAGAAAATGATAAAACATGTCTTAAGAAACTAACATTTTTTTAAGCCAAAGAACAACTTTAATTAAGAGCTCAAAATCAATTGTGATAATAAATTTTGTGTAAATAATGATTTTTCATTTGATAACTTTTTTTAACTTTATATAAAGTATATAAAATTTAGTAAATTTTAGTATTGAAACAAGTTGCTATTAATAAAATTTTTTATTTTATATATAAAATTATTAAATAAAAGTTATTTTTTTCTTTCCTATAATCTAAAAATTATATTTTTTAAAAAAATTTTTAAGTTTATATATAACAAAATTTTTATTAATTTTTATTTGGTGTATAAATCTTTTTGCACCAGACTATATATACAAATAAAAATCTTAAAATCTAAAATATTTAAAAATATAAAATATAAATAAAAGAATAAAAAATTAAAAAATATATAAAATAACTTTTTCTAATAATTACTAAAACCAAAAATTTTTACTAATAGAAAAACAAAATTTTTGTTAGAGAGTCATGGTCACATTATAGTTTGTCTAGAGGTTAATATTGCTATATGAGATTTCTCTAATAAGGATATTTGGCATGCAAGCCAAGAGTGTTATTATACAAGATAACTAGCAAGAGGTGCCCTTGTATAAAAAGTCTTTGTAGAGTATAGGCAAAGCCCAACTTTGTTAACAAAGCTTCTAGGTTATTATTTCAAAAAAAACATAGGAGAAACAACAAAACTATTATTTTTTTAAAGCCATACTCCTTTTTTTGGAATTAAGTAGTTTCTCTCTTACTTTCTCATATCCTTCTATTGGTTTTCCAAAATTTTTGCAAAAAGTGGAGATTTGGCTTACTCCAAAAAATCATTATTGTTTACTTTCTAAATTTGGGAAATGTCAAAAGCAAAAATAATTTATATTTATAACTTTTTCAATCAATTTTTGGGTTAGAAGCATACTATATTATGGTTAAGTTTGGTTTTAAATAATTATACATAAGCAAAATTGCCTTTCTAACCCATTTGATTAATATACTTGAAGTAGGTCTAGACTGCTGTTTTTTGTATTTTTTATTTGCTTCACTAGTGATTATCAAAATTCTGTGATTTGATTGGCCAAAGATTACATAATTTGTCTTTGCTTTAGATATTACTAAATTTAGATAGACTTAGTAAAATACAACTATGTGATAGTTTGTTTATCTTTACTGCACTACTCTGGAAAAGTTAGATTGGATCTCCAGTTAAAGAAATATCTGAAAGTAGTCTAAGTCAAAAGGAACATTATATGTTAAAGAAAGCTTTATAGTAAAGATATACAATTGTTGTATTTGTTATATAATTTTTTTAGCCTTGTACAGATTATAATAATGTATCTTGATTATATAAAGAGGTAAAATTTCTCTTGAACTTTTATCTTTTTTCTATAAAATATTTTTTTATTTTTTTATTTTTCTTTTTTGGGTTTTTTTATTTTTATATTTCATTTATTTCTCTTATTTCTCCTTTTATATCTCCTTTTTAGTCATAATTTGTTTTATTTTTTATAGATTTCTTGATAAGATAATTCTAGTTTGTCTATAAGATAATCAAGTAAAGTTGGACTTTTTTTCTATAAATTAAATATATATAGTTTTTACTGTAGGTTTCTGAAAATAAACTACCTTTTTTGGCTAAAAAAGTGACATAAAAATCATGGGGGTAGCTTATTTTCAGGTAAAGTTTCGAAAAGATTGATTTTTATTATTTCTTTAAAATCTGGAAGTAGTTTCTATATATAAATGTCAAAATTCTATTAAGTAAATTGATAAAAGTCACTTAATAGGAGTTGTTCAAGATGTAAAATATATATATTTTAAAAGTTTTAAGCAAATCGAAGAACTTTTTACTAATATGTTTTTGCATTTTACGTTTGAACATAAAATGCAAAACAACTTAGTAAAACGTTCAAGAAGCTAAGTTAAAAATTAACTTTATACAGTCAAACCTCCATAAATGCACTGTGTACAGACTAGCTTCAACCGTGTATTTAGAGAGGTTTGCATTTAGAGAAAGCCAATCAAATTGCAGCTTTTAATGTTTGATCTGCAGGCTTGTGTAACACAACTTAAATACTGAATTCTGATTGGCTACGTGCATTTAGAGAGATTAGTATGATATATAAAATCTTTTGAGTGAACATGCATTTGCAGAATATAGAATGTACATTTAGCACTAATGATTTCTTACAGCCAGGCCAGAAATGTGCATTTAGAGAGGTATTGCATTTATAGAGGTTTAACTGTATCGTGTAAATAATCTGATAAATTTGATAATGGTGTAAATATATTTAAAAATTTACATATATATATATATATATTTGAATTAGTATCAATATAGGATGAAGCATTTGTGCTAAATTTAGTATAAATTTAGAATGTAAATATTTTATTTAATAAAATAGCAAATTTTTGATAATATGTACCTCTTCTATTTGTTAGTTATCAAAAAAAAGAATCTAATGTTGTCTGTTTTGAATTTTTTTTGTTAAATAAGAAAGCACTTTTCGCATTCGTTTAAGTTTAGCAAAAACCTTAATATCGATTTCAAGATTAGATTCAGGTTGCTTAATATAACCAAATACTGTATCTATTTCAGCAATAGCTTGACTTGTTGTAATGGGCTTATTTTTTTTTATTGGTTCTTCTTCTTCAGTTTCATTTTTTTGCACCTTTTCTATAATATCTTCAATTGTAGGCATTTGACTTATTGTATTTTTACTATCAATTTCAATAAATTTACACACAGAAATATTTAGATGCCCAGGATTTTCAAAGCTTTTTAAATTTTAAAATTGTGTAATAAGATTCTCTAATTCGGCTTCTTCCTTATTATTTTCTTCAACCAAAAGCTCTGCATCTGGATGTTCATCAATTTCTATAAAAGGAAGAATTCCTGTTTTTTGCCAGATGTGAATAATTATATCTTTGGAAACTTTATTCCAAGCTTGTGAAACAAACTGAATTGCATCATATATTGTAACAGGATCTGGTGGTTCATTGGTTAGATTTGATTCGTCAAATGTAGCAATTCAGTTTTGTAATAATAACTTGCGATAGTGACACTACATTGTATAAATATTAATAATATTAAAATATAGTTTAAAAGTAATATTAATGCTAACTTTAAATGAGTAAATAATGCTGGTGTCACAAAGTTGTAACCATGCTATAGTATTTTTTGAGAGAAAAACTACTTTGATATTACACAAATTCAAACCTTCGATAGAGTGTGCTAAGAAATTATCTGCAAATAAAAGAATTTTTTGATGAGCACAACACATATAACTATCTAATTGAGTTAACCAGTTTTGAAAAATTGATGTTTGCATCTAGGCTTTTTTGTTCCAATAATATTTAACAGGCAAAGATGATTTTTTTATTCCTCTTATAGCATGTGGAGTTTCAAATTTATGAATAAAAACTGGTAGCAATTTATTACTAACTGTATTACATGTTAATATTATAGTAACCCAATTTTTTGGTTTTTTAACACCTGCAATACAACCACGTGTAAGCGATTTTGAAGGCTTTAAAGTGCTGTTTTATCGCAGTTATAAACATCTACAAGATCATAGTTTAATATTTTATTTTGCAAAGATTGACAAAATTTAGGTAATTTGTCAATCGAGGCACTAGCAGCCTCTCCACTTTGCATAGTGTAAACAATATGATACCATTTTTTGAAACCTTGTAACCAGCCATTAGATGTAGCAAAATTTTGAATTTTTAGTGCTGTTGCGATTTTTTTGGCTTTTTCTTGTAGAATTAAACCTGTAATTGTTAGATAGTTTTCTAATGCAAGATCAAACCAACATGCAAGAATTTTTTTCAATTGTGGGTGATCTGGTAATCTGTTTCACTTTTGTTATGCTGCAGTACTTTCTTCGTCTAAACTAAGCTAATGAAATGATTGTGCAAGTATATCAGCTACAGTTGACCGACCGATTTTAAATTCATCTGCTAATTCTTGCTGAGTAAAATTTAAATTATCTCATGCTAATTGGTATAATTCTTTTTTTTGCTTGCCACTTAATATTTTTTGAGGTTTTTTGGATAGAGTATTATTTTTTCTTTAGCTTTGTGTTTAGTAAAAACAACTTCGTTGTCAGACATATTGTCATTAATAAGAATTAGTAAAACTTTTATTTTTTTTTATTATTAAATACATAGTCAAAACATAACTTGTTATAATACCTTTAAGAAAAATAGTATCTGCATATATACATATAACAATAAGAAAATTCGGTATAAGTACAAATTTAATAAAATTACTAATTTAGAAGTTTATGGCATGAATGCTAATATAACCAAATTTAGCAAGAACATATAGCAATACATAAAGATATAAAAAACGGAAGAGTGGTAGGGCAGCACAACAGCAGCCCTTTCAAAAGGCAAATCAATTTCGCATCTTGCCCTACTCTCTTTTAGTAGAATTCTGCCATTTTGTAGTAGCTTAAGCATCTCTTTACAGCAGCCTGTATTATACAAGTAGAAACCACCAGCTAATGCCAATTATACATCAAATACACTGATATATGCTATATATCTCTGTCAATAATACATCAAATGCACTGACATATACTATATATCTCTTAACTATACATCAAATGCACTAATATATCTTTAATATTTGAATATCCAGCACTATTAGTATTGGAATATATCTAATAATTATATCACATGCATGTAGTTCTTTTCAATATATTCAAATTCTGATGTACTTTCTATTGACCTTTAAAAAATTTTATGATTTTATGATCTAACTTTAATATTTAAGATTCAAACTAAATCCAATACTAATAGTAATGTAATGATATAATGAATATTGTGAAACTAGCATGTGATTTAATTTGATAGTCATATACTTGTAAGCATTTATACAAGATTTAACTTGTTAAATTTAGATATTAATAGAAGAAAGACAAGTTTTAAATATTTACAGATTTTAATTTTATATAGCCTTTTTACTAATTTATAATAAAGTTTATAAAATAATCATGCTATATTCTGCTACTCATTTTTAATTAAATATTATAATAAGGTATGAATACATAATAAATTGGTTTAATCAAGAATCATTAAAAAGATTACTTAAATTGTAATACAAAAAAATTAAGTTTGCAAATATAATATACAGTGTGTTTGTTAAAGATAATCGGTTCATAGTATGTATTATATTAAAATACAATAATTGAAGAACAGACACACTGCAAAAAAATGAATTAGTATAAAATTATCGGTAAATAAAAATATTACATATAAGAATTTTTACCTATCATCATTATAAGTTTTAATTTAGTGATTTTCTTAAATTGCTTATTAATAAAATTGTCATTATAACCAGTGAAAAAAATTAATTTAAATAATTATTTATATTAAAAGTGTTGTTATTTCGGTATAATTAATGTTTTATATGAGTGTCGGTATAACTAGCAAAATTTCAAAATAATAGATTATTTTTTTAAAAAACTGTCGATATAACCAATTGTCATTTAAACCAGCTATCGGTGTAATATGTACATATCTCTTTGAAATAATATGAATGTGCATACTATTTTGAGTAAATATAGTATTGTTATTTTTTTTTATGATTAAATATTTTTTTTTTTTACAATTGAACTATTATTTCTTTTTTATAATCAAATTTTTTTTTTTATGATCAAATTGTTATATGTTGCACTTATACTTTGCACTAAATACACTTCATTATAGATCTTTGCTATCAACAACAAATTACTATTTACTTTTTGTACAAAAACTTTAATAACAAATAAAAAATATCAACTGTTATCTTGGGATGATATTCATTGATTATTTGGTTTATTTTCAGAAATAGTATTAGTATTTGATAAACTTGATATTTTATCTACAACATGTAAATTTTCTTAACTACTATTAGTAATAGAAGTGAGATTATTGTCACTAACAGATGATTTTAAAAGAGATATCTAAAAAATTTTTTTATTAGTTCTTTATAAAAAATTACAAATTTAAATAAAATTAAATATATACTTCTTCATATTCACTATTAGTTCTATTTAAAACTAAAGGATTACATAGTGGCACAGAAGAATAATGTTGTTGTAACAGCATATGATAATTTGTTAAATCCATAAAAGGAACATTAGAAGTATTGTAATTAGACAAAGAGACAATATAACTATTTGGAATTGCTAAAGAAGTAGTGAAAACACTTGAAGTAGTTGAAACAAATATATTTGAAGTTGTCGGTAATAGTAATATATTTTTTGTTTGTTAAATAAATGTTTTTTTTTGTTTGTTAGAGACATGATAATCATAATATTAAAAAAGTTCACTCAATCATTAATCACAATCTTTATATTCATTGATTGTAATGATTGTGCATTATCTTAATCACTATCTAATTATACTCAAAAAGATCCTTAAGAGCACCTTAAATTGATCAACTAAGATAATTGGTTTACTGGCTTGTGATCTTGTGATCCACTTAATTGTTTATAAACTGGTAGTAAGTAGTAGTTTGAATTTTAAATTATATATGATATATGCATATTCTGGGTTGTTTTATTGCTAATTTAAAAAAAAACATATTTATACAAATTTGATGATATTTATTACTTTACAGAAACTAGCTGTTTTTTTTTAATGGAGTTAAGATAATCTTAAAGATATTAATAAATTTTTTAATAATTATAAGATTATTTTACAATAAATTTTTAGTGTAA